ACAGACAGACAGACAGACAGACAGACAGACAGACAGACAGGAAGACATAACCCGATAGATTTGTTCGTCCTCGGGAGGACTCAGCGGTGAAACCAGCCGGAACTGAGATAACGGATTCTCACGAGGGGGGGGAGGGGGGAGGTGATCTCTCGAGGGGAAAAACTGTATTATTGAGTAACCAGTTAATTTTCGGCTTCAGCAAGGTCAGGGTTTGTGACTGATCAACCTGTTCCTACAAACCGTCAAATGCTCCAAATCGAGGGGATGAAAAGTTAACATCCGAGGCTACAACCGGATCGGTGAAAGACTGATAATGTACACGGGAGAGGTAGCTAAAAACCTTAATTCCAAACCAACCAAGAGGCGTACGAACCACACGCATGCCTTTCTGGTTCTGGCAGGAGTTACCGATATTAGGCATTGGAGGTGTGTTGAACACATTGAAAGTTTGACACTGTTCAAAGGGTATAGGATACCATACCACGGGTCCATAACGGATTGCTCTTTTTGCACACACACACACACACACACACACACACACACACGTACACAGTCCTTGCGGGTCAGGCTTTGGCTAGTCGAAGGATCCGGTTGTAAATCCTCAAAGAAAAATCACCTGCTCAGTCCTGGACAACGCAGTAGCAATCCGCCCCCGAGGAAATCATGTACTGATTTCTTAGTTAAGAGGATCGGTCTGTCGTGATTTGTTTGGTACACAATCCTGACTCAGACAAGTGCGAAGTATACGTATTTCACATGACAATTATGCCAGTAGGGTAATTTTATACCTGATTCAGATAATTCATCAGAGAATCACAGGATTCCTAAATGAAATCAAACAATGTGCGGCGCAGTATAACGATCACCAGTACTTACAAGAGAGATTTGGGCTGAACAATCGGGAAGAACACGCCCTTGTAATACAGAAGTGATTGGTTTGGCCCGGGTTGATGCGCAGCTGCAGATTGTGGATTAGAGTCCTTGGCTAACCGGGGTAACGAGATGGTAGAGGAATGAAAGGGACACAGGAGAGGGCGGGAACAGTATTCTCATGTTGGAACTAGCATTAAAAATGAAACATTAGACGAACAATTAACAGAGTCGGGAAATTTGTCAAAAATGACGTGACACTTATTCCAGTTGCTAAAAGGAGGTTGTCAGAATCTGATTAATGAAGGTCAGCTGCTCTTCAGATTAAAGCAAAATGAGTGAACCCAAAAGTGAAACCGTGAACAAAGTAAACACATGTAACCAAAAAATGGCCAAAGGGCTCATTTAGGGTGCAATTATTATCTTGGAGTTTGCGCACTAACGCTTGATTGTCAGCTGAATTTCAGTGACTAAAATCAATTTTGGATGTGCTAAAACGGCTAATAAAAGGAGCACTCGGAAAATTAAAAAAGATACAAAGGAGAGAACAGCTAATCATGATAACAGACGAATTCAAATCCGAGGCGCCAATCCTATCAAAGCTCAATATCAATTTTCTTAAGGGGACACAATAAGAGTGTATTTATGACTGATTGACGCCTGATAGTTGCATAAACCTCATTATCTGATGTAGTTAGTGCCCTGAAAATAGGCCTTTCCGATTTGCAATGAGGTGCAATGATGGTCGAAAAGATGGAGTCCGAACGACCGACTAACTGAAAGCAAGAGCACCAGTAAATCACATTGCTCAGGATAGATCGAAATTCTAGACAGGGGTCTCCCGGCTCGTTAAGTTTGAGGTTAAAACCATTAGATGTATATGAACAGGCGTTGTTCTCGGAAAACCGGGCACAGTTTCAACGTACTATCAGCTCGTACCCAATCGTGTGTGTTGAAGACGAACGATCAAACCCAAAGATCAATCAGTATGATTATCAAACTGAATGAATTTCTTGAGTCATTGCCAGCAAATCCTATCATGCACCAGAAACAGTATAGCCGTAAATGTAAAAGGACAAGACAACGACACCTGTGTCCGTCATGCTACATGCTAGTTCTCAATAGGAAGAGGGTAGATGGAAGAAAAGACGAGAGATGCGATACACCAATCAGATTATCGCATAGAAGAAAAAATTAGACCGCAAAGCAAAAACTGCACAGACGCACACACAAACACACACAGGATATGCACGGAGATCAGTCCGAGATACAAAACTATTCCACGGGCCGAAACCGAAGTGTTTTCGATACCATCCATATTCTTGTTATATTCTGATCGAACCACACAGTCAATTTGGCTTTCTGGTCGAGCTGGGTAAGTGATTGGCAAACGCAACAAGCTGAAGATATAATCATGGCTGGTGATCAGGCGCATTTGTAAATAAATCATCCAGATAGATGAACCAGTGAGTCTAATCGATCATAACGTTCTGTTTGAAAATAGTAGTTCTGAAGGGGAGAGGTTGTCTGATCTNAATGAGGGAAAAATTCAACCGACTGGCCTTGGGGGTGTGGTAATCCAGAGCTGACAGGGTTTCGCTGAGAACACAGACAAGAACGTAAAACTCACTTAGTTCATCTCCCGCGGAAGGGCTAGCCAGAACCAGCTGTACATAATGACTGAGTGTGTTGATCCATTCTTGAAAAATTTTGGTCGAATGTGGTCGCATGTCGTAGGAAATGCAGACGTAGCTAAAGGGAGGGATGATGGAAATAGAAGAGGAATAAGTGAAAAACAAACAGTGGGCAAATATGTGGTTGCAAGGGTGCAAAATTTACGCAACACTACCGTCGGATAAACACTACGTTTCAATGTTGAGCAGATCTTTCGCCAGATATAGCAGATTTTTGAGCGAAGGGAATCACTTGCGTCATATGTACATTTCATGGTGAGTCATTCATGATCGCAAACAATGTTTAGCCGTGATTTATTTCATCTATTAAGTGAACCATTGTGAGCGGAATTGATATTGGTTTTCTGTTTAGTGGACTATGTCACTTCAATAGCCGAGCAATCGATGTTATGGGTGTCCTTTTTAGTCTTAGTTCATGCAACCATGAAACTTGCACTTCCGTGTGGAGTTTCTAGCTACTTAGTTCTGGATAACGGAGTAGAAGGAAACTGAATGATTATAACGAAAACAATTGAACTAAATTTACGAGGAAATGGAGTTGATACATGCGTGCCAGTGTTTCGAACACTCAATCATATCATTCAGTATGTCGTCATGAGCGCCCTGGATACAATATCTAGTGCAACTTTTGTGACCAAAAGCACTGGTCGGGGACATCATATCATCATACTGGGTCTTATTTTGGCTACCTTTGGCGTTCCCAACGCGTTATCTACTTCAGTAAACATTGTACGCCAAGGAAGCGTACTCAGTGACAGGCGTAACCTGCAAAATTCAAACGTTTTACTTCCAGAACCCTACATTGGTTATCCGGTTTGATTGAAACGGAAGGTTAAAAGCAATAGTTGGAGCCAATTACGAAGGTTGATAGAACTTTTATCGGTCAAGAAACAACTATAGGGAGGTAACGACGGAGAAAATGCCATACGATGCAACAGGAAAGCCGTAGGGGGGAGATGCAGGTCATATTAGACAGCAATCTGCATCACATGTTTCAGTTTCTTCTCCACTGGACAGGAACCCGCTTGGAAGAATAAACATAATTCATCTACTTCGAAGTTTTTAACTGATACAGAACGCTTTAAATTTGTTTGCTTGTTGACAAGAGTCTAACTGCCGTACTGCATGGTAGCATCAGAGGAAAGACACATTATAACGATATACTCAAGCGCCATGGCCGAATTGAAACCCTTCATCCTGCAACAGAGTTGATCTGAGACATGTTTTTTTCCCGGTCGATAACTTTCGTCTGGTTCCGGCAGATTAAACCGAAACAGCAATCTGAATTTTTTCGCAATAGCATCAACCGAACAGATATTGTATACTCCACTACAGAATCCCGGGAAAGATGACTAATTCGTGTAGTCAGTTCACTTAGTAAAATAGTTCGGGCTGCTAATAACAACTAATGTTGGGCATTCTGGTTCGATACATATGTTGTGTGCTTTTCAACAGAGCGAAACCCCACACTGATATCATTCGGATATTACTACTACTGATTATTATTATTCTGCATATCTATTTGGCTCGACACGAACTGAGAAGAGCAGAATAAGAAAACAGCTTGTTGGATGACCAGTTGCATAAACAAACCCGTAAAACAATAGATAGACGGAGAGACGGTCAGATCCATCTAAACAGACGTAGATACATCGTATCACATGCCTCAAAATCGTCCCGTGGAAAACGGGCCAATCAGTAAATGCTAAATATGTTATCAGCTTACTCAACCAGTCCACAAACCCGATGAACCGCAAACCTTGTTCTCACCACAACAACAAGAACGATAACAATAGTTAAAAACAATACAACAAGTCCGTCGAACAGATCCCAATTGTGCTATCTTCTAATGTGCTGAGAAAGATGGAGAAAAGGACTATTATTAACATCATCATCATCATCACACTGACTATAAAAAGACCATTGTCAAAACAGATCAAGACTGTAACAAAAAATTCAAACATACGCTTGTTTATGAAACTTGTTGTTGTTGATGATGATGATGCTTGTAACTCAATGATCACGATACAAACGAACGAACACCACTGGCACGAATACACACACACAGACACATAGTGTTCGAGCATGTCTGTTCCACTAAAAGATAGGATAAATGGACGTCAACGGGGAGCAGTGCTAGTTACCCTCAGCGCATAGTGTCATCGAATGCACTGTGGGAGACGGAACCAGTGGAATGCGTGGTAGTAATCTGACGGGTTGATAATTAATGGGTGGGGGGGGGAAACAAATAAACAGTGTTTCTCTTTGTCTCTGAAGCGTACTCGACACGTAAGAAAACGTACCGAATTAACTCTGGCTGCATGGCAAATTTGTACAGTACTTCCAAAGCCAAAGCACGTTCCCAGGCGACCTTATCCACATCCAAAAATCGAATAAGCAACGACAGGTATATTTCACATTCTGTGTTCTAATCGAATGAAAAGAGGGAAAGAGTGAGCAGACAAATATGAAAGCGTAGAATCCACAAATTTCATGTGTTACGGTCACGTAGAATGAGTTCGGTTGATGCACGAGCTTGCAAAACATGTTCTCGTTGGTCGAAGCTAAATTTACAGTGCATTTGTTTGGTTACCTCTAATAGGGATGAAAGATTTGAAATGCAAATTGATCATCGACCCATTGACCTCGAGCTCCAATGGACGTTATTCCTGAATCTATTTCTCATGGAACTACCTAAAAAATGGTACAGATATATATGTATAATTTATTATACTTATTACATACTTATATTATGTATATTATATATTATTTAATATATATTTATATATAGTGTATTATAATATAATCTACGCAACCTAGTGTCTGAGCTGCAATCAACACTGTATAGGTGAGACAGACTAACACCTAGGCAATCACATATACGAACACAAGCTTTCCCTCGAGCGTGCTGACCCGAGGTTACAAATCTGGAACCACTGTACACGGACAGGTCAAGAGAACGCGATCAGCAACGTAAATGAGGTGGTGCGACCTAAGAAGAAGGACTAATTGTCGAAGCTTTACACTGGGTCAACTCGTTCAACGAATACTTTGAGACGAACAAACATTACGTCGCACTCGCAAAACCCGTGATGATTGGATGCACAAGCAGCACACAAGCGCATGGAAAGACGGTAGTCCCATTATCTCATTCATTTCACTTACGTTTAACAACGAGTCCTAATATGTTCCAAACCTCAACGCATAACGAATAAACCTAGACAATATGCTACCCGTTGGAAGGTATCACAAGAAAAGTTCAGATTGAACCTGTCATGTAGACATCTCGTTACACCTTATCAGTCGTGGGAATTCATCAACACCCACTGGAGGTCAAACTCGAGATCTCATATATACAGTGCAAGAATGACATCCATTTGATCATATATATTTATATATTTTAACACACGTCTGAATCCAGACTGTATGCCAAACAAATAATGGGTAAATGATCTTCATAAAAAGAAAAACGGTCCATGATTTGCATGTGGGCGGAATACTGCCAGGTTGCCCAGGCCAAGGCAGGTGAATTTTCTTGAGGAATCCACAACCGGAGCATTTGGCTNGTGTCCAGTTCATCGGATCATACGCCCTTCGAATGGGGTTAGACGTGCCCAATACACCTCGATGCCCAATCGAGCCGGTGGCCACTGCCACAACCGGGAGGGTGTGGGTATGGGGCTCGTACGCCTCTTCATAGTTGGTTTGGAATCAGGGTTTTTGGCCAACTCCCCTAGGTGAACTACCAGTGGTCCACCAACCCGGTTATAACCC